TTAACTCGACCCAACGGCCAAATCACCTTCTCGAAACATGCAACAAGGCACTATATAAACACTACCCCCGGTCCACCAGTAGCATGCAAACCACGACGTTTAGCCCCGGACCGTTTCTCTGCAGCAAAGAGAGAATTTGAAACGTTGGTACAACTGGGTATCGCACGTCCCTCCTCCAGCCCCTGGGCATCGCCACTGCACATGGTCCCAAAGAAAGACGATGAATGGCGCCCATGCGGAGACTACCGTGCTCTCAACGCGAGAACAATCCCGGACAGATATCCAGTACGCAACATCGACGATTTCACGCATGCACTAGCAAATAAGAAGATTTTCTCCACAATCGACTTGGTTAGAGCGTATAACCAAATTCCAGTCGCAGAGGAAGACATCCCAAAGACAGCAATTACAACACCTTTTGGATTGTTCGAGTTTCCTCATATGAATTTTGGTTTACGTAACGCCAGCCAAACATTTCAACGTTTTATTGACGAAGTGTTACACGGCCTTGACTTCTGTTTTGCTTACATCGACGACATACTTGTCGCATCAGAAAATGCTGAGCAGCACAAACAACATTTACGCACGTTATTTACTCGTCTACATTCATACGGAATACTGCTTAACCAAGCAAAATGCAACTTTGGTAAACAAGAAGCGTCTTTTCTGGGTTATTCTGTCTCGGCAAATGGAATACGTCCTTTACCCGACAGAGTAACAGCAATCTCCAATTTCCCCAAACCTGCTACCGCAAAATAATTGCGACGTTTCCTGGGTATGCTCAACTTTTACAGAAAGTTCCTGCCTAACGCTGCCCGCACTCATTCTGCTCTGAATGAACTTTTACTGGGGAAAATCAAAGGAAATGCCAACGAGGCATTCAATTCAAGTAAGGAGCAACTGGCGCAGACTACTCTCCTGCACCATCCACAGCCTTAGCAATTTTCTGTGACGCATCAGACCATCACTTGGGCGCTGCGTTACAACAATTCCACAATGGAACCTGGGAACCCCTTGCATTTTTCTCCTCCAAACTATCCAACGCTGAAGTCAAATACAGCGCTTTCGACAGAGAACTTCTCGCGATTTATCGCACAATTAAGCATTTCCGCCATTTTCTCGAAGCCCGTGACTTCATTATATTTACTGATCACAAGCCCCTTACCTTTGCCTTCCGTCAGAACCCTGACAAATGCTCTCCCAGACAGTCACGGCACCTCAATTTTATTAGCCAGTTCTCAACAAACATCCAGCACATTTCTGGAAAAGATAACATCATTGCAGACGCACTCTCACGGATTTCTGAGCTATCAATACATATTGACTACGAAGCTCTTTCTACTGCGCAGGAATCCGATAGGGAACTACAACATTATCTCAACTCTAATCAATCCCTACAACTTAAACGGATTCACATTCCTAACACAAGCAAATCTATATCAGTGCAAAGACTGAAACCAGCATACATCATGAAAGAAGAACAGCACTTCAACCAATACTCACAACGAGGAAAGTGGACGATCGACCAGCCCATACTACAACCCGGTCCGGTCATCGAGTACGTTTCCCTAGCTATATCCGAGCAAGCTGATCCACATCGTTCCTCACTGGAAGGGGGGTCCTGTGGGAACACTCGGTATAGCAAGAAAACATTTATTGTTGTGTATCAATTAAGCCTCTACATTTGTGCTGACTTAGTTAGGTCGCGACACACTGCGACTAACTAGGTCAACGGCAAATACATACACAAATGTAA